CCACGCCGGAATGGCCAAACGGCGGTGGGCGGAGGCCGTAAACACGGCCGTCTTCATCCAAAACCGAGTGCCGCACGGTCCCAGCGCCACCAGTATCCCATCCAAACGTTCACCAGCCACCCAGCGCGTTTGGACAAGTTGCGGGTCTTCGGATGCGTGGCTTACAACCTCATGAAGGAGCCTGAAAAGAGGGACAAATTCGCACCCAACGAAGTGTGTGATGATGGGATACGCTGAACACCAGAAGTCGTACAAACTATACGACCTGGAGCACCAGAAGATGGTCACCAGCGTCCACGTCCAATTTTGCGAGAACGAGTTCATCGGGGAACGAACCCCCATTGATTAGTACCTAATCACGACCGATGATGATACCGACGACGAAGATGAAGAAGCTCTTATCCAAGGGGAGACATACCAGCCAAGACTCACCACTAAACAACCACCGCCACCAAGCCCCGAAGCCACTTCAAGGTCCCACCGAAAACGTTCATCGGCGACGCCAGTACCCTCTACAAAGGGTTCAACATCGACTCATCGGAGATCGGCACACCAGGGAGACCGACGCGTACGTACGCTGCGCCAGCGAGCGGAAATCGAGGAATGGTCCTGCGCGACAGAAGGACCATGAGGACTCCGTCCAGATATGTGGATGAAGCACCCACCAACCGTCAAGGGAACGACCCCGTTGACCGTGCCCTGCGCGACCTGAACCGAGCAACCCGCGGCGATGCCAACGCCGCGAATGAGGAAGACCATGTTTCGATGTCGATGACGGTGGATGGAGTTGAGTGCCCTGCGCGACCTGAACCGAGCAACCCGCGGCGATGCCAACGCCGCGAATGAGGAAGACCATGTTTCGATGTCGATGACGGTGGAAGGAGTTGAGTTCGCTAGCTTGGCCTTGCCGATAGCAGATGACGTACCCAACAGCCACAGAGAGGCCATGGCGTCGCGCAACGGGACGAGTGGACCAAGGCCGAGCAACTTGAGCTCAAGCAGCTCAACGACGTCGGGACGTGGAAACTCGTGTCACTACCACCAGGACGAAAGGCAGTCGGGTCGCGATGGACATACGCCAAGAAAACCAACTCCGACGGCGTCGTAGTTCGCTACAAGGCTCGTTTGGTGTGCAAGGGCTACAGTCAAGTAGAAGGGATCGACTATTCAAACACGTACTCCCCTGTCGTGTAGATGGCAACTGTTCGCAAGTGCGCCGCATTCGTAGTCGCAAAGGGGTTCGTCATCGTTCAAGCTGACGCCGACACGGCCTTCGTTCAAGCCTCCATGGACAATGGCATTATGCTCTACGTCGACCAACCACCCGGTTACGCCGACGGCACCAAGCGCATGATGCTGCTCATGAAGGCGCTGTACGGCCTGAAACAAGCAGCGCTAGCGTGGCAAGACCACTGCCGCAAGATCCTCGTCTCCGTCGGTT